GTTCCTCAGTTGCATTCAACATGTGGATTTTATTTATATTTATTTTTAACTTGCAGGCGACTATAGCCTGGACCCAAGGTTATTGAACTCTGAGGTCTCACCATTTCTCTTTTCTAGTCTCATACAGCATTGCCTCAGTTATTTTAAATACCATTTTTTTATAATTTAACATTCATTTTTTTGTGGAGTCCTATAGCTCAGTGGTTAGAGCACTCGCCTTGCAAGTGACAGACCTGGGTTTGATTCCCGGAAGGGTGAATCCTTGGGCAAGTTTCCTTGCTCCATATGCCTGATAATAATCCCGCAAGAAAAAAATAATAATAATTTGGTAATTTCAATCCACGACTGTTGTGGGACATTGCTGTGCGCAATTGGCTGTGGTGTTTTGCCCACAAATATACAGTCAATTTACTTTATAGTATACTCTGTGAAGCGCTTTGAGACATCTAGAAGACGTGATAAGGCGCTATATCAAATGCAAGAATTATTATTATAGTTGATCAATTCTACGAATAAAATTTTGAAGGATGAAATTGTGTTTTCAATTTTTTTTTAAATGGAGTTTAGGTGTCGGCTGGGGTTTAATTCTACACATGCTGAATCCCCTCCTGAACTTATCCAAGTGTCTATTCATCAGATCACAGGATTGCATGGGATGAAGAAGACCCTTCGGCCCATCCGATCTTATCTTTCCAAAATATCCACCCTATCATCTCCCATCACAGTATCAAGCTGCTTTTGAAATGAGTCCAGTGTCTTTTCTGGCAATCTGTTTCAGTGGTTAATTATCTGCTAGACAAAAAAATAAAGAGTTCCTGGTGTCTGTCCTGAAACTGCTCTTTGCAACTCTAAATCTATTGTCTTGGAACACCTGCTAGTATTTCGCAATTACATTTAAAATTTTACTTTTTCCCATTACCTGTTTTTTCTATTTGACGTTTTGATGGGTGGGGGGTTGGGGGGGAGAGGTGGCGTGGGTTGGTGGATTTTGATGGACTACCCCAAAAGTAGTCATTGTAGAATAGTTTTAGTCCTGCTGTGACGTGACATTCACACATGCTCATTTTCCAGCAAGAGTGACTGGATAGCAATTGGGAGCAGGAAACCAGGCTGTTATTACTATTTGCTTTACCATTAGACAGGGCCAATTGCAACAGCCAGCTTTCAGCCAAACATTGATTATCAAATCCAAAATCTCACAATTTTGATGACTGTTGGAGGATTCTGTGCATCTCCATCAGCTGCTTGTGGAAATGCAATACAATTTATAGTTTTACAGTATAGGGCCTTTCACGTTGGGGGATGTCTCAAAGTGTTGCATGGTGCTGGATGGGCACCTGAGCTAAGGATGGAAGCCCAGGGGGGAAAATAATGAAATAGTCTCTGGTGTGCTGGGAATTGCTTTCTCTGACTTCGCTCAGATACACATCAAAAGCTAAGTTTAACTTGGATAAAATCAGAAAAAAAATATATTTGAGATTAAGTGAAGATAGTGTACACAATTGATTTTGTTTGTGGCGTTAAATTGACCACTGAAGTTTCACTTGGAGTTTGTTTTGAAGTTTTTTGTTAAATGAACATTGCAACCTGAGCGCAGTTAGGAGCTGCTGAACTTTACATTGTATGACTAGAGAGGGTATCAATGGAATTGACAATGGCACACTTCTATAGTATATCACTGTGATGACAAAACAATATTTGAGTATTTGCATATGTATTTGAAAGTTTTTGAAGAATTGCCCCACACGTATCACATTGCTGTCTATCGAGAAAGCAGCACTCTATCTGTATCAACACTTAAATACTGTATGTGACAGAGCTCTGCTTAGCACCATTGGATCTCAAGTGAAATGTTCAATATAAAGCCAGTTGGACAGTTGTCTCTTTATTAGCATTGGAAATGTAAAAGTGCTCCCAGGACTCTTCCAAACATAATAAATTGCTATAATGCAACAAACGGGAAACTGTTGCTGTGAGAGGAATCTTCTGAGCCATGTGCTGAGCTGATGTTAGTTTGAGTGCAGGCCTACTGTGCTTCTGGTGCTGCTGTGAAGCAGAAACTATTGTGTAGGTTAACCATACTTTGGGGTATATTTCTTTGCTCATATCCTCTGCAAATGTATTAACAAAAAAGCTATTCAGAACTGCATTTATAATTCACTTGTAGTGTCAATCAGACACTAATTTTAGGTTTTGGGGCATTGACTTGATTTTGAGTCCCTCTCCTGAATACCCTTTCTCATAATAGCCCGGCTCTCTCCTCAGAGCTATTGGGAACTGTTTAGTAACAATCATGTTTCCTGCCCTCATCCACTCTATTGCCACAAGAACAATTCACATTTGTATAATACCTTGCACACTGGGAGGATGTATCAAAGCACTTCACAAAGCAGACTGGTAGTCCAGGCTGGGGGGCGAGTAGAGCTGAAGAGGTGGGTAGTGGGATGTGTTGGAAACCATGGTTTTAGAGAGTGGTCATAAGGCATGTTTTGTAGGGAGAGCATGGAGAAGGAACTCTGGATTAGAGTGGCTGAAATCTCACTCATCAGTGGTGGGAAAGTATCAGATGGGGACATGAAGCAGGGTGGTGTTTGCTTAATATATGGAGTGATCGAGGCAATAGGGTTGCAGAAGTAGGGTGGAGAAGGAAGACAAGGTCAATGATATCAAACGTGGCAGAGCTTGAGGAGAACAAGGAGACGCAGAGCTCTGGTAACATTGAAGTGAACATTGTTTGTGATCTTCACCAGGGCAGGTTCAGTGCTGTGGGCAGAGCGGAATCTGGATTGGAGCAGCAGATTAAAGATAGAGTTAGATGAATAATGGAGAGAACGCAAGCTCGTGAGAGAATTTCTTGAGGAGGGGCTTGATGATGGTGATTTTGAAAGGGGGAGATCTTGTGCCAGTGGAGGGGGAGAGGTTGATGATGGTTTGCTGGGGGAATGAGGAGGGGAAGCGAGGTGCCGAAGGCAGAGACAGCAGAGGGAATTCACTTGCGTTTGGATCTGAGGAAGTCCAACACTTCCTTGCATTTGGAAAGAACCATAAGTCAGGTATTGACCTGTGTAAATCATTTCATAGTTTAGTTATCTCAACTGTTCTGACCAAAACATCTTGTGAATCAGTATATGTAATTGCTGTGTTTCCTTAGCTGCTCTATGAATGCTTACAACGTTTTTTTTGTCATGAGGACAAGTTATTACAAATCAACCATTTTTTCATTCTTAAATGTTTAATTTTAATTCAAAAAGAATTTCAGAAATTGTTAGTTTGAGATGGGTCTTGAACAGTTGTTTGGTTCGCAAAATCTATCGAATTATTACTCAAATTTCTAACGTCCAAAGTTTCACCTTACCTTAGCCAGTAAGACCATGTGGTCTTAAAATTTAAGGTCAGGGAGAATTGTAAACAAATCTTAAATTCAATCTAATTTGGAAGTCTGTTCTTAAGAACAGCAGGAAACAGGATTCCAAATTATAACTGAATTTAGGAATCTTGCACAATCCTTGCACAAAATGCTTTACATGCTATAACTAGGAAGAATTTGGGGCTTATCTGATGCTTTCTCAATTTCTTGTACATAAAGCTACCTTTTTCACACCCCATTAGTTGCATGTGTTTGGACTCCTATGATATAAAACTTACATTTGGCAAGAAGAAAAATCTGAAATAAATTCCTGGCAGTAGTTAAAGGTTAACCTTCGAGTAGCGACAAGATCCAGATGTTTTTTCTCATATGCAAGAAAACTACGCACTGCAGTTATGCCTTAGGCATCAATGAATTACGAGCTTCTAACAATGTGGACAAAGAATTGCAGTCACTTCCCCCTTCTTGTGATTCAGATTCTTTACTTATAACATCACTAGATGATCTACTGCATTTCTTTCATGCAAAAAGATACTTCACAAACAGGGAAAATTTTACCATAGCAGAATAGTCAGGCTGCTTAAACATTACTCTATATCCAACTTGCTATGTATTTCATTCAAATGGAATGCACTTAAGCAACATCTCCACCCATAAAGGTTTATTTGTATAGGATTTTTTTCTTTATCTAGATGACACAAATTATATCCCGAAAGCACAAGTATTTTTATCTTGCAAATGCATTGTGTGATGGCCAGCACGTATTCCATAACATTGTTTGACGTCCATCATGTATTCCATACATTGTGACTCCATAAAGAAAAACAGCCAGATTTTCCCATGATGATTTTGACAGAATCATTGCCAGAGTTAGATCTCCTCTGTCAGATGCTTTCTGCATTGAGGAGATCTGAATCTTAAAAGAAAAGGCGTTGTTACCACAGTAAGGCCTTGTGTATGTGCAAACCCATTCCATGATGTTTGCTCCTGGAAAAATGGCAGCATAACCAAGAAAAAGGCCTGCAAGCAATTGTGCCTAGTTTTCAGGTACATCTCCCCATCTCTGCCACCATTTTATCCATAGCTGGAAATTGTGACAATAAATTTCTAATGGTTGCGAGTTAGCACAGTAGCGTTCTGTAGGTTGTGAGTTAGCACAGTGGTGTTGTCATCACACCACTTACCCAGGGATGATGGATTTTCACACATACGCAAAGTTTATTTTGCCCTAAGTGCAGCAGTAACATGAAGGCGGAAAATAATCCAAATATGGCAGTTTAAAGCCTCCAAAACTGCAATCCGGATACATTGTAGTGGAACGTTTTACATTTTAATATCTATTTATTCATTCATCTTCAAAGTGCATTCAGTCCATGAAACAATATTCGTACTTTTAAAAGGAAGCTGGAAGCCCGGTGCTTCCCAAGTGCTGTAGATAATGCAGATCAGCGCAGTGAAATTATTCAGCAGAAAATGCAACATGTGATAATTCAATTTAGTGCCTCACTGATGATAGTTATCACACCACATGTCACGTTTTTCACTCCTAAATGCAGTACGTACGGCAGAGCATAATTGTGTTGTATATTATTTTTCAAACTTGTATTGAGAGCAGTTTTTATACTTTCTGCAGATGGTTCTTTGGAGGAATCAAGCGATTGGATGCAGAGAAGCAGCTGCTAATGACTGGGAATAGAGATGGCTCCTTCATCATCCGAGAAAGCGAAAGCAAGACCGGAGACTATTCCCTGACAGGTATGTTCCTCTGATGAATTGTAATGTCAGAATTGTTTTGCTTGACTTATCGAGTCAATTTAGTCATCCAGTCAGTGTTTAGCACATTGAGTGGACCTGGATAATGCTGTTCTCAATGGGGAGGTCTACAAAGCCAGTATAATACCTTCTACTGTCAGTTGATGGAGATCAATCTGTAAAAACGATTCACATAAGCAGAAAGGTATTATAATACTTCTTGTATTTGATACAGTGTCTGTCTTATGTTGTTGAGACGTCTCAAAATGCTTAATGGAAAACACTGTAAAGTGATGTGACTATGTATTTTGTGGGCAAATTAACAGCCCATTTGTGCAAGGAAATGTCCCACAAGCAGCCATGGAGTGAATGACCAATTTTATTTTGGGGAATTGTTGTCCAGAACACCAGGAGAAACTCCCTTCTCTTTTTGAATAGTGCCATGGGATCTTTAAAGTCCACCTAAATAGGCAGACTTGGCTTAATGTCATGATGATACTTACACAAGGACATCACATCTGCATTGATGTAGAATGTCGGCAGGGCTATTCCCTCCCGATCTCTGACTTAGTACCGTCCAATTGGATCTCCAGTTTGAGAAAGCAATGAGAGGTATTTAAGATGCTAAATGTATTATAATGAAAATAAACCCCGAACAGCAGGCCAAAAGAATCAGGGCTGTGAAAGGCAATTTCATGACAAATATTGGGAAGTATTTTTTTGCTGTATAATCAACTACTGGAATGGGTTACCAGAAAGGCTGGTAGAGGCCAGGTTACTGGAGACATTTAAGTAACCTAATGCTGTTACGAGAAGAAGGAAGAGTGGGCATTCTGAAAGGATGCGATCAAATGATCAAAGACTTTCTTTCATATCAGTGTTTCCGTTTCATAATCATGACTCTGAGATATAAACTCTCAGAGAGAAATGTTGTGAGACAGAAGAAATCTGAAACACTTTTTGTTGCGTTTAAACGGAGACAGTTCAATTTAAGACTGTAGGTGTGTTGACAACCACGAATTATAAAAGTAACTTTTCTGTGTCTTAAGTAAGTAAGGTTTGAAATTTATTTTTAAAACAATGAAAAGTATGATTTTCGATCTCAAGAGTAAATGTTTTTGTTAGTGTTTTGTATAAAGAAAGTGTTCATTCCAGGGGGAGAATTATTTTGCTGCTTATCAGGGAAACAGTCCAAGCTTGACAAGGGAGAATCAGGAATATGTAGGAGAAGAGTCTGCTTGATGCAGGCATAAACCCCAAGAGAAAAGCTGTGAAGGGGAAAAAAAAACTGAGGAGTCTTGTAACGTGACACATGACAAGGTAAAATCCAGTAAGCAGAATAATTAATGCAGGTGGTTATTAACCCCTGGGACATGCATTTGGCACCACAATAAATTCAGAATTGCTGAAGACATGGATTTAATTTGTGTGAACTGTTGCTACAATGAGAAGGGGTGGAGCAGAAAAACCTGAGTGTTGTGTAATGCTGTGCGTCACCAAGGTGTTGCCATGTTTTGATTTCTGATGTGTGGGCTTAGGAGTTTGTTCAAACTCAATCCCGTGTCTCTGCCAAGATTCTGTTTTAGAAACTCATTGCATTTGAATATCTGCTTGTTTCTATCTTCTTGTTATATGATAAAGAATTCTCCAACCAGTGTTTAAGCAGTTCATTTATGGTCAAGGCCAAGGATTGATGATAAAATAAATACACGATATGTTTGATTGTATATTAAGATCATAAAAACAATGTAGAAAAAGTTGGTTCACCAAAATTGACTGATCAAGTGTATAGTACCTCACCCATTTAATTTCCTGAGGGAAGATTCTGCAATCTCTGCAGTCTGTCCCCATAGATACACGTGGGCCTTGTTATCTTACATAGATGATATTGCCTTTGCAATGGTGGCACAGAACCCATAATAATGATCCACACATTTCTGTTAAATGAAGTTTGGCTTCACTTGTTGGGCCACTTTGTCTTCAGAGTTGAGACCAAATTAAATTGTGGAAAATTGTCAAACTCAGTGTTAATTTGGAAACCACTTCTTTTCTAAGAATATCGGGTGGAACAGCTTCCAAATTCAGCCTGAATTTAGGAATATTACACAATTCTGCGTAATCTTAAATTTTAAGACAAAATGGTTCCACAGACGAAGACTGGGTTGAAATTCAGGCCCACAGATTTTTATTGTTTGGAGTCTATTTCAGATATTTGGTTCCATTTGTGGAGATATTGTTTCAGCTTGTATTTCATTTGAGGCAGATTCATTTTATATATTTCCTCTTGTTAGAACCATAGAACCGTGGAAATTTACGCCGCAGTAATTCATCCTATTGTTTTGCTCTGCCTGGTACTGCTCTGAGATTGTGTATTGATTTGTATTTTGAAATGTGGATGGCTGTTTTCTGAGCTACAACATTTTATTTCCACTTTCCAGTAAATGACAGAGTAGCGAGTTGTGATTTAAGTTTCCTTTCCAATAACTATCTACATTTTGTATTGTTTTTCTTTGTAAAAATTCTATGCACAAAACTATAAATTGAGTTTTGGATAATAGAGGTGGACATGATTTGTTTAGTTGTCCACTGATTTATTAGTCAATACATTTTACAAAGTAAATTTAAGGATTATAAATCACAAGTCTGTTAGATTCCTCTTCTGAAATGACAGGAATTAAGAGTAAGGCAAAGGTGAGCCTCTTGTTTTCTGCCACCTGGTGGCCCATGAATGTTGTTTCACCAAACAATGAATGTCTCAAACTGCCACAATGTAATCGATACTGCACACACTCTTGCTGTCACATGCAATTCTGAAACCAAATTGTGTCTTCCATTAAGAGTTCATTGCAATATCGGCAAACATCGACATAACATTACCGTTGGAGGACATTCACTGGACCTCATTACGAGATGAGCTAATTTTCGTGCAGCTGTATTCCAAAAATAGCCATGAGTGAATGAGTTTAATTGTTGGCCATGGCACCAGGAGAAACTGAAAATCAGTGATTATTGGACCTTATTGTTTTTGCTCAAGAACAATAAGAGTCCTGTAGCTCAGTGGTTCAGAGCATTCGCTTTGCAAGCGAGAGACCTGAGTTCGATTCCCGGCAGGGTGAAACCTTGGGCAAGTTTCCTTGCTCCACACGTCTTATAATAATCCCTCAAGAAAAAAAATTGGTCATTTTAATTCATGACTGTTTGTGGGACACTGCTGTGCACAATTGGCTGCCGCATTTCGCCCACAAATATACAGTCAATTCACTTTACAGTCTATTCTGTGAAAAGCTTTGAGACGTCTAGAAGACATGAAAAGCGCTATATCAAATGCAAGGATTATTATTATTAATTTGCTATGATACAGTACCTTTTACATATTCTCCAGTGCTTCATTGGAGTGTCCATTTTCAGTTAAAACAGAGGTTACAGCCTTGCAATAAATTGTTGTATTCATCTACTGCTTCCTAACAATAGTTTCTAATGTGTAGAACATGTAGCTGTGCCTTCGAATGAAAACTTACCTGATATCATCACAGAATGTGGGCCACCTGTTGAAAGAATGCAATGGTATCCTATTAACCTTCAGCAAATTGCTGCACAGGCATATTTCTCTGGTTGATTTTGAGGGAGCATTTAACTTACAAGATCACAAAATTGGTTTCGAAAGAAAGGTCCTTTGGCTCATCCTATCTCATCTTTCCAGAAACCCCACCATATCGTCACCCATCACAGCATCAAGCCGTGGTATCAAGCTGCTTTTTAAACTTCATATAAGCATGCCCACAAGATCTAATTCTACCTTCACCCTGCAGTTTGTGTACAGACCCCCATAATATACATGGCAAAATACTGGATGCTTGCATTCGAATCACAGCTCCAATTTTAGATTCTAAAGGAACTGAATAATAATAATAATAATAATCCTTGCATTTGATATAGCGCTTTTCACGTCAGGAGGACGTCCCAAAGTGCTTCACAGAATATACTGTAAAGTGAATTGACTGTATATTTGTGGGCGAACGCGGCAGCCAATTGCGCACAGCAATGTCCCACAAACAGTCGTAGATTGAAAATGACCAATTTATTATTTTTTGTTTTGGAGGGATTATTATTAGGTGTGTGGAGTAAGGAAACTTGCCCAAGGTTTCGCCCTGACCTGCCTGGAATTGAACTCGGGTCTCTCATGTAGATCATGATGAATTGTGTTATCTTGTACTGAACATTAGAAGCAGAGGACACAGCCTGCGAATGAAGGGGGTTAAATTCAGAAACATTGCTTCAATGAGCGAGCAGTAAATGTATGGAACAGGCTCCCTAGGGAGACGGTGGAAGCAGAAAGTGTTGATTCTTTCAAGAACAAATTAAATAGATTTCTGTTAGGAAATAATATCTCAGGATACAGTATATAATTTGGGACATGTGCATGCAACTGCCAGGATGGTGGAAAATGGACTGAATGGAGTTTGGTTTTTTATCATCTAGTAATTCTTATGTTCTTATGTTCATCTTAAACCGTGTTAGTTGGAGTGAGGATTAAGTGGTAGAGTTCTTGTTTGGACAATTGAAATTGGAGTAGCTTTTGGCTTCTCTGCTCTATCAATGGCACTATCGCCTTGGAGTCACAAAATTGTGGGTTCAATCTCCACGTCATGCCTTTGATCTTATAGTTCAGAGTCCAGGTTGACACTCCCATATAGTGTTGAGGAAGCACTGCATTCTCAAAATTGCATTCACGATCCTTCAGAATATACTTCAGCCGAGGTTCCATTCGCCTGTTCAGGTGAATGTTAACTATTCCATGACATTATTCAAAGGGAAGAGAAGAGAGTTTCTCCCGGTGTTCTGGCCAATAATCCTTCAAATAGAATTGGCCTCTCACTTGATTTTTGTGGGACATTGCTATGCATTGTTATTGCTTTGCGCAAATGTGCTATTACTTCAGCAGATTTTTCAAGAGATGCCTCAAGCTGGCTTCATAGAAATCTGTAAGTGCAAAATATGTGAAGTGTCAACAGGACATTTAAATAAATTAATTGAGGGCATATAATAACCCCTGACCAAAAACATACTGGCCTAGTTTTAGGCCAAATGAAGTAAACTCAGTATTGAACTCCGGTATCTCTAAAGCATCAACTGTGAATAGCACCGCATGCTAACTGCCTTTCCTGCTTTATCTGCTCATCCTACCTGTATTAAGCTCTCCAGACAGTCAACAGAGGAAAGGCATGTCAGTAAGAACAACAAGATTACATTTGTATAGCACCTTTCACGTTGGGAGGTCGTCCCAAGGCGCTGGACAGTGCACAGCATTTCAGACCCGAGGTCGGGGGGGAGAAGGGAGGGAAGGGGAAGGGGGTTGGCCGATGGCATGGTCGAAGAGGAGGGTCTTGAGACGGGACTTGAAGGAGGCTAAGAAGGGGGCGAGATGGAGTGATTGAGGGATGGAATTCCAGAGGTTGGGGGCAAAGTGGCTGAAGGCTCTCCCGCCAATGGTGGGGCAGGTGGGTCGGGGGACGTGGAGCAGGCCACAGCTGGCTGAGCAGAGGGAGTGGGTGGGTTGGTAGGGGGTTAGGAGATCGCAGAGGTGGGGTGGGGCGAGGCCATGGAGGGCTTTGTAGGTGAGGACCAGGATCTTGAACTGGATCCTCTGAAGGATAGGGAGCCAATGGAGTCGGGCGAGAATGGGGGAGATGGGCTCATGGAGTTTGGTGCGGGAGAGGACACGGGCTGCAGAGTTCTGGATTATCTGCAGCCTGTGGAGGGAGGAGTTGGGAAGGCTGACAAGCAGAGCATTTGCATAGTCGAGTCTGGAGGTGATGAAGGCATGAACAAGAGTTTCAGCGGCCTGAGGGGTGAGGTAGTGACGGAGTCAGGCGATGTTACGGAGGTGAGGGAAGGCAGAGCGGGTCATGATTTGGATGTGGGGAAGAAAAGACAGTTGAGAGTCGAACAAGACACCTAGGTTCCTGACTGGCTGGTGAGTTATAGTGTGTAACCATGGAGGTTGATGCTGCCAGAGCCTGAGGTGCTGAGGTGCTGGCGCGAGACAATCAGGAGGGCCTCAGTCTTGTTCACAGGCAGTCTGTCAGGACAGCAGTGGTCCTGGAGTTGATGGTGGAGGCAAAAAGATAGAATTGGGTGTTATCCGAATACATGTGGAAGTTGGCCTCATGTCTACGGATGATGTCACCAAGGGGGAGCATGTAGATATTAAAGAGGAGAGGACCAAGGACAGAGCCCTGGGGGACGCCAGACGTAAGAGTGCGGGGCCTGGAGGAGAAACCATTAGAGGCAACAAAGTGGAGACGGTGAGAATGATAGAAATCAAACCAGGCACGGGCAGGTCCGCAAAGATTAAGTAAAGAGGAGAAGTGGTGTATGAGGATGGAGGGGTCGATAGTATCGAAGGCGGTGGAGAAATCGAGGAGGACAAGGAGGCAGAGGGAGCCCTGATCACAGATGTTCAGAATGTCATCTCCAGAAAGCACAGAATAATCTTTGCTATCTACTGAGAGAGCAAGAAGGACAGAACCCACCACAATACATCCAAAACCAAACTGTCAATCATTCTGCATTAAGGTGTCTGCAGCCCGTGTCCTCTCCCACACCAAGCTCCACGACCCTATCACCCCCGTCCTCGCCCAGTTCCACTGACTTCCCATCACTCAGAGGATACAGTTCAAGATCCTGATCCTCACCTTCAAATCCTCCATGGCCTTGCTCCTCCACTACCTCTGCGACCCCCAACCACCTACCAACCTGACCGTTCCCTCCGTTCAGCAGGCTCTGTCCTGCTTCACATCCCCCGCCTTGCCCACCCCACCATTGGTGGATGGGTCTTCAGCCACTCTGTCCCACCCTCTGGAACTTCATCCCACAGTCCCTCCACCTCACTCCCTCCCTTGCCTCCTTCAAGACCTATCTCAAAACTCTCCTCTTCGACCATGCCTTCAGTCACCCTCCTACCCCTACCCGCCCTCCACCCCTCCTGAACCCAATCAGCAGCTTGGGTGCGGATCCCTTACTGTCCGGCGCCTTGAGACGTCCTGCTGATGTGAAAAGTGCTATACAAATGTAATTTGTTGTCGTTGAGCCAGTCCAGTCTCAGATTGAAACCATACTCAATTCTATTTAACCCGGGTAAACAAACAGTTTAGATCATTCCTGAAAAGAACAAGAAGCAAAAAAGGATGAGAAAAGTTTTAGAAAGCTGGAACCTCCTAAACAGGTTCCTGGTGTTAGTAGTCATAGTCCTACTTCACTGAAATTAATTATGTTTTTTTATTTCTATATTTTGCAGTTCGTGATAGAAACACTGTGAAGCATTATAAAATCCGACAGTTGGATGAAGGTGGATATTTTATCGCAAGGAGAGCAACATTTAGTACTTTGGCAGAACTTGTCAACCACTATCTGAAGACCCAAGATGGCTTGTGTGTAAAACTTAACACTCCATGTCAGAAGGTAATGTGTGGATGACATTAAAATGAGCAATATTTTTTATCAAATGAATGAAACATTTAGTTTGCTTTTAAAGATTTACATGTCTTCTTAAATTCACAGTTGATATAAAATGTTCAGGTAGTTGATTGCCTCTGTTGAAGGCTGAAGGCTTCTTGCCAAGCTGGATCGGTGAGGCATTGTGCTGATCTCTAGCTTGTGAGGAGATCTGTGAGAGTCTGCTGCAAGGAACTCTGATTCTCTCTCTCAATATGAGACCCTCTGATGGCTTAGCTGATAGAGGCACTGCCTAGTGTGAAACAGGCTCATACAGACTACGAGGTCTTGGGTTTGATTCCTTGACAGTGCTGATTTAACTGATCTCAGTAGGGCAGTTGTATAGATGCTTCAAATGCCTAAACTAAGGAGAGAAAATTAGCTAGGGTTGCTGCTTCAGTGACCTCTGCCCACCTCTTTTGGAACGTGGTCTCTGAGGACGCCAGATGATAGATATGGGCTCTGCTGAGATCCCCATGGTTGAAAAGCCTAGTTACTGAATGGACAGTTGGATGAAATACTGGCGAGCAGCTGACATCTGTAGAATTGTATCTACACTCCAGCTCCCATCAGCTTCTCTGCCCACATCCTTTGAGGCCCCATCCCACACTTCACCTCACTCCCTCCCTTGCCTTCTTTAAGGCTTGTCTCAAGACCCTCCTCTTCGACCGTGCCTTCGGTCAACCTCCTACCCCTACCCTCCCTGCCCTCTACACCTCCTGATCCCAACCACCAGCTCGGGTCCAAATCCCTGAATGTCCAGCGCCTTGGGTCTTCCTACCAACATGAAAGGCGCTATGCAAATGTAATTTTTTGTTGTTGTACACTTGCGTCAATATGTTCAGGAGAGGAAAGAGACAAGAATAATAATCCTTACATTTGGTATAGTGACTTTCACTTTGGGAGAAAGTCTCGAAGCACTTCACAGAATACACTGCAAAGTGGAGTGATGGTATATTTTCGGGTGAACACGGCAGACATTTTGAACATAATTGAGTCCCAGCAAGAGCTATGAAATTAATGACCAATTTTATTTGGGGGACTTGTTGCCCCCCCTTGCTCCCCCCTGCCATGACCCATTCTGCCTTCCCCGACCTGCGCAACATCGCCCGACTCCGCCACTGTCTTACACCGCAGGCCGCTGAGATCCTCATATATGCATTCATAACATCATAACAACCAGGCTCGACTACACAAACTCACAGCTTGTCAGCCCCCCAACTCCTTAGGTAGAAAACAATTTGTTTGCTTGGGTGGAGTATATATCCATGTGGTACTCAAGAGTTTATACTCCTGTGTCCTACCCTTTTGGTGATATCATCTGCAGACATGGGGTCATCTTCCACATGTACGCAGATGACACCCAACTCTATCCCTCTGCCTCCTCCCTGAAGCCCAGGACCACTGATGTCCTGAAGAATGTCTGTCAGACCTCAAGTCCTGGATAAGAGCTAACTTTCTACAGTTGAACGTCAGCAAGACCGAAGCTCTCCTGATTGGCTCACGCCAATGCCTCCGCATCTCAGGTACCGACAGCATCACCATCCAAGGATGCATACTCCACCTCACTAAGCCAGTCAGGAACCTTGGCATCTTGTTCAACGCTCAACTGTCCCTTCTCCCCCATATCTGTGCCATGACACGCTCTACCTTCCCCCACCACCGAAACATTGCCCTACTCCGCCACTGCCTCACCCCTCAGGTGTCCGAAACCCTCATACATGCTTTCATTACAACCAGGATTGACTATGCTAATGCCCTGCTTGTCAGGCTCCCCACTCTTCCCTCCATAAGCTGCAGATCATCCAGAACTTTGCAGCTTGTGTCCTGTCCCGCACCAGGCTCCGTAAACGCATCACGCCCACGCTCGCCTGGCTCCACTGGTTCCCCATCCCGCAGAGGATCGAGTTCAAAGTTCTCGTCCTCACCTTCAAGTCCTCCATGGCCTTGCCCTCTACTACCTCTCTGACCTGCTAACCCCTTGTCAACCTGTTAGTTGTCCTGCAGAGTTTGCAGGTACTGTGCACTGATATTGAATATTGATTATGTTCATAAACAGCAATCAATTAGCCTTCAATTGATTGTGCTGTTTAGTTACAGGTCAAATCCAGTGAAAATATTGAAATATTGATGCTGGCATCCTACAACCTCTTTAGGGTTTAATTTTAGATGTCTCAGATTGTTGTAATGTGTACCTTTATTGACCTTTAGTAGAATAATATTTTTCTTTCAGTTTAATTATTCTTTGCGGCAACGTCAAATTCATTTTGTTTTATTGTGAAGTGTATAATGTTTCTCAATATGAACCTTCATTTTGACTTACTGATAATTTTATGGATTGTTTTTATCTATTGTGTTTTCATAGCCTGTGAAGAGAGAATGAAGCTATTTAACTCTTATTTTCTGTCATTAGCTGGAAACGCCAGTCACTGATGGACTATCCTACAACACCATAGATCAATGGGAAATCGCTCGGAACTCTCTGAAAATGGTGAAAAAACTAGGAGCTGGGATGTTTGGAGAAGTGTGGCAAGGTGTTTGGAATGGCACAACCCCTGTTGCTATTAAAACGCTGAAAACTGGTACGGTATCTGCTGTCAACTTTGGCATTTCAATACTTTGAGTTAGCTTGTTACAGTGTGGTAAAACTGAAGAATTACGCCTGACAATAATTATCTTTGCATTTGGAGCAATGCCCTTCACATTGAGAGGAGGTCTCAATGCACTTCACAAGATTCATTGTAAAGTGCGTATTTTGTAGGTGAAAAGCGGCTTCTATTTGTTCACAGCAATGTCCCACAAACATCCATGAATTTTATCTGGAGAATTGTTGGCCAAGACACTAGAAGAAATTCCTTTCTCTTTTCAACAACAACAACAACTTGCATTTATATAGCATCTTCACATGAGTAGTTTCTTGGAGCACTTTCAAATATTACCGTGGGATCTTTAATGTCCACCTGAAAAGGCAGATGGGACCTCAGTTGAACGTTGATTATTATTATTATTATAATTACAACTATTATTAATTTGGAAGCACAAGAGCTCCAACAAAGCAGCACTCACCCAGCACTGCTTTTGACTGTCAGCCTAGAATGTGAGTTCAAGTTCCAATGTGATGTTTGAACCTACATTCATCTAACTCAGAAGAAAGAGTGCTACTAACTAAGCCAGGCTGAGACCTCAATGTTAAATAAGGTTGAACACTGATTAAGATAAATCCATCAAAATAAATATTAGCTCTTATAAGGAAGTGACCTTAGAAGAGGTGAAAATCTATTGAAAGAATTGGGACGTCAACATTTTTTAGAGGGAATCTTATAAATTGATCATATTGAACTCCTAACTCCATTAGAATTTTAAGTATTTAAAATACAGTGTGTTTTGAACTGTGTCATCAAGGAATCATATCTTGCTGCTTACTTTTGATAGTTATTTTAATATTGTGAATTGCCTGAATTCTATTCTCTTTCCTTGTCGAGTGTCAATTATAGTAGTATTTTAATCGCACACTCTATGGATATTTGCAAGGAGAGGTGTACTCTAATCTAAACTACATTTATTCCTTTATGTGTGTATAAAGAGAACTTCGATTCAATAAGCAGAGGAAGCCTTTGTAATTCTGAATGTGATTCCAATGCAATCCTATCCAGCATCAACTAATTGAATAGAAAGCAGTAGGAAGCTAGTGTGGCACAGGCACAATGGGCAGAATGGCATGCTGTGCAGCAATTTCAATAATCTATGAAAATTATCAGAAAAATAGGCAACAGAATGTGATGATCAGTGGGGAAGTCGTGACTCAATAGAGTTCTACATGTTCTGAATTCCTTTTGCTTTACACTATACATAAATGAATCTGAGGAGGGAACTTTTTGAAGTATTGTATCATAATAATGCAAACCTACAGAATACAGCCAGGTGAAACAATCTAAGGTGGGTGTAAAGAAACTAGAATGATTGCAGCACTCANTTTTTTTTCATCTGTGTTCATTCTTAGGTACTATGGCCAAAAAGGATTTCCTACTTGAGGCACAGATAATGAAGAGGCTAAGACATCCGAAGCTTATTCAACTCTACGCTGTTTGCACTGTCGAAGAACCAATTTACATTATTACTGAATTGATGAAGAATGGCAGTTTGCTTGACTACTTGCATAGTAAGTACTTTTAGCTTTCCTGAATCAGGTGGCGGAACTTACAGCTGCTGCAGAGGCACTGTGTCTTACGCTCATGTTTATGGATATTTTAATATTTTTAATTGTTTCATATCCACTGTTTGCACTTTATATTTTATATATTTTAAAAATGCCATGTTGATGGTGGATCCATTCATCATCATGAACAATGAGTGAACATGTGGGATGTTGTGTTTGATGCCCCCTAAAATGCAGTATTATGGCCCTACTTGACTCAAGGAAGCACGTCTTCCTTGATTGTTGAATCACTTCAATATCTACAGGATCCCTGCAGAACCTTTTTGAGTACTGTAGCTTAGTTGTTAGAGCACTTGCCTCGCAAGCGAGAGGACCGGGCAGGGCGAAATGTTGAGCAAGTTTCCTTACTCCACATGCTTTTGTTTACCTAGCAGTAAGTAGGAATCCGGTTATTAATCGATTGGTGGATCACTTTTCCGGGAGTAATAATCTCTTCAAAAAAAATTATAATTTGGTCACTCAGTCCGCAATTGGCTCCCGGGTTTCGCCCACAAAAAAATTCAGTCAATTCACTTTACGGTATATTCTGTGAAGCGCTTTGAGACGTTTCAACAAAGTCTCAAGGATTATTATTATATTATATTGCAAGGATTATTATATTATTAGGATCCTCGTAGATGCCAAGATTTGTTTGGAAATAATTCTTCAGGATCTTTCTGAAAGGGGCAAAGGACTCTTTGATCATTTTCATCTTTCTTCACTTGAACTGGTTAACATCCTGAGTAAGATTGCAGTTTATATGCTGTATGCCAACAAAGTTCCCCTTATGGAATAGATCTCCTAGGCCAGCAGCAGAATTGTTTCCTGCAGGGCTACATGTATGAAATCCAGGACAAAACTAGAAAAACTGAAAAAAGGTGGGCTGGAATCTAAACCAAAATATCACGCTGCATCCTCTAGACTAGTTTCCCAGCAGTTTCTTTCCCAATGTGCACTTTTGAATTCCAAATACTGTCTGCTGCCAACCTACACTTTGTTCTCTGATCTTAAGGAAGTGGAGTGTCTCCTGTCTGACTATGTGGGGGGGAGATTATACACTCTGTAATTGGCAATCAGAAACCCTTATGGGAAATCTAATAGCTGAACCATTAATCTCCGTGATTGTTTTCCACATTTGTGGTACTGACCAAAACAAAATCATAGGACAGTTTCCCTAAAGCTACTGCAATACTTCAAGAAGAGAAAACAAAAGGTCCAGGTAAACTGATAAGTGCTTTTTCATTGTCGGTGTCAGAACTAATGAGTGAGAATTTTTAATTTTTGAGGTGAAAGGATTCTGAAGGCATGGGGTTAAATTGTGATGTACCTGAATACATTTTGTTCATTGGGCTCAAAGTTTTCAGTGCGGGCTTGATTCACGTTTGCAAGGATGGAAGAGTATTACCCTGCAATTGGGGACATTTTCACACTCAAAACCTCTGTGTGTCTACAATGGTGGGCACAAGAGACTATTGAAAACTAAGGTGTCTTCCTGCCATTTCAAGTGTATTTCATTGCCTTGCTCCCATTAGTCATGTTTTATAGTGTATTGTTTCCTTGGCAGTCTGGCTCTTGGTGATGTGTGACTAATCCCTGTGACAGTTTTATTGTCAATAATATGTATTGGTGCACCCTAATGGTCTGTTGGAAAACCACCCTCCCTGACCTCTCCAATGGTAACCATCATTATTAAAGTTGACAGATAGCCTAGGCTTTGGAGAAGTCATGGTTATGTAGTAGGAAATGCATATATTTCATTCTCTAATTTTGTTATTGAACTTATCTTTTATTGTAGCTAGTAAATGCTGTTATTTGTCTTGAGAAGCAAAGGTTGGTCTTATACATCTGTGTTAACTGGAGCTTCTTGAGTTTGAGTCCGCTTATCGTCAGCTGTTTATGACAACAATGTTTGGTGGCTGATTGATAAGCACTGTCTGCCTTTTTTATGACAGCAGTTTTAATAAATATAAATGATGCTTTTGTTGGTGTACCCCACATTGAAAGAGTTATTGTTTATTCCATACGGGGAAAGCTCAAACTTAATGAAGCTGTTAAGTTATATCTCTTATTAATGAGATTACAGAGTTGAACTCAGCAGCCAAAAGTCAGATTGAAATAATAGGACTTTGTTTCTGAATACACGCTGGTTCTAAAAAGGCCAACCAACGCAGAGCTGAATTTCCTTTGATTAATGCTGCATGAACCATGACACTGAAGGTTTTCTTTGTACAGAAAAAATATTAATCTGTCCTCTTGCCTGCTTCACTTAGAATGAACATTGTTGTTTAGTGCTTAAACAATTACCAGGCACTTAGTGTATTAAGGAAATTAACAGCGATAAACAGACACGAGAAATATGCCTGCATTCTGGAAACATCTGTGTCCACATTTTCATAAGTTCCCCCTAATGGAAAATTAGACTTTTTTTGTTCTCTCTGCTTCAGTCATATAGAGGCCTATGCATGAAATCAAACTAGAGGCTGAGTTGGTAAAGGCACAGTCGAGTATACAAAATGAAGCCACACAAACCAGAGTGTTGCAGATTGTAACCCAGGATGATCTCACCTGGGATAGTGAATGTGAAATACAATTAATCTTTGCACCCCTAGAGTGGAGAGGGTCAGCAGTTCATTTTGGAGGCCCTCCTGCTTAGCTCACAACCTCAGACGCTGACAGCATGACTATCCATGGATGCACCCTCCACCTCGTCGAGCCAGTACGGAACCTTGGTGTCTTGTTCAAACCTCAACTGTCTTTTAAACCTTACATCTGTGCCATTCTGCCTTCCCCTACCTCTACAACGTTGCGTGCCTCCACTACTACCTCTCCGCTCAGGCTGCTGAGACTCTCATCCATGCTTTCATTATGTCCAGCTTGACTATGTTAACTTCCTGCTCACTGGACTTCCCAACCCTTCCCTCCACAAGATCCAGATTATTCAGAATTCTGCAGCTTGTGCCGTTTCTTGCATTAAGCTCCATGAGCTGATCACCCCCATTCTCGCTAGTCTTCACTGGTTCACCAACCCCCAGAAGATCAAATTCAAGATCTTCGGCCTCTTCTTTAAAGCTCTCTGCGGTCTTGCTCCTCCCTACCTCTACGACTTAACAAAGCATTACTAACCTCTCCGCTCCCTCCAATTAGCAGGCACTTGTCTGATTCATGTTCCCCGCCTTCCTGCTCATCCATTGGAGATGGGACCCTGAGCTCTCTGGAACTCCATCCCAGAGCCCCTCCGCCTCACCCCCTTCTTTGCCTCCTTCAATGCCCTTCTCAAGACCTTCTGCTTCGACCACAACTTTGGTCATTTTCCTGCATCCACCTCCCTTCCCCCCCTATTGACTCCACCTGTTTTTTTTTAAATAACTGAATTATATTGGCATGGTATATTAATTGCACTTTAAGAGCTACCTCATTGACCACACCTAGTCACCTCCCACACCCCTTGTCAGCCCACCCCCACTTCCTGTTCGGCAATCGACCCAGTCACTGTGCTGAACTCCAAGACACTGTCCTGTATGACGGGCACTATATAAATACTTACGTGTTCTAGAATTGTTTTTTTTCTTTTAACTAGCATAGAAGGACATTCCGCCTGTCTTTTTGGATATAAAGGAGATTATTTCTGGAATTAACATTGTACAAAATGTATTCTTTTCCATGAAGAAGATGGTGGACAAAATTTGAAGATAAATGACTTATTAGAAATGGCTGCACAGGTGGCATCAGGGATGGCATATCTGGAAGTGCAGAATTACATTCATCGGGATTTAGCTGCCAGGAACGTGCTGGTTGGAGAAAACAACATCTGCAAAGTGGCTGACTTTGGTCTTGCTCGGGTCTTTATGGTAAGATAATAATAATCCTTGCATTTGAGATAGCGCTTTTCACATCTTCTAGACCTCTCAAAGCGCTTCACAGCATATACTGTAAAGTGAATTGGCTGTATATTTGTGGGCGAAATGCAACAGCCAATTGCACACAGCAGTGTCCCACAAACAGTCATTGAATGACTAAATTATTATTGTTTTTTTTCTTTTTTTTTCTTGAGGGATTATTATCGGGCGTGTGGAGTAAGGAAACTTGCCCAAGGTTTTGCCCTGCTGGGAATCAAACCCAGGTCTCTCGCTTGCGAGGCGAGTGCTCTAACCACTGAGCTACAGGACTCCACAGTATTAAGTCTCTACAGATCAGTATTAAGTATCCATTAAGTACTTCTGAAAATGTAGGACAACCATTATAACTGTTAGTCATATCTGCACTCAATTATACAATACAATACAAAATTACATTTGTAAAACGCCTTTCACTTCGGGAGGACATCCCAAGGCGCTGAACAGACGGGGATTAGGACCTGAGCGGGGGGATCAGGAGAGGTGGAGGGCAGAGAAGTTAGGAGGGTGACCAAAGACACAATTATAGGGGTGAGATGAGATTCTCATCAGACATTAAACATGTCCAACAGAAAGTGCAATCACAATGAAAGACTGGGTTTAGCTGGGTTATATTTGTGCCTTAAGCAATTGAGTGGTAGGTGTGTAAGGTGAGATATTTGATATGATGTGAATCAGAGTGATAAATTGAGAAGTGATGTGTTCAGACTTCAATGAAGCTCCCGCTAATAGGTTAGTGAGCTTTTCCATGAATATCTGAACCATCCAGAGCAGGTTTAATCCCCACTTGTGCTAATTTAACTGATCTTGTTCAGGATGTCACTAGGATATGATAATCAGCCTTAGCCTCCCGGGTTAGAGAAGGGAAATTGGCCAGAATTCTTGTTCTCAATCACTATTCAGCAATTACTTCTGAGAGTGGATGAAGATAGAATCGGACTGAGCTACAAAGAATGCCGCCCTATAGTAACATAGTGTGCCTTCGCTCACTGGTAAAGCTCATGTTTTTGAAGAAGACAATTGGAAAAGATACTGGCATCTCCAGGACCATAAACCCAGGAGTTTAATTCCTTCAAGAGAAAGAAGAGGAGAATCACAGTTAAAACAGTATACTGTTGTATTCAAATTATTACATGTGTTTTTAGATTTCATTTTTCATATAGGTTTTTTTGTGCTATTCCTAACTGCACCTGTAATACAGACAAACAAAATACCTGCAGCAATTCTGTTTATTATTTAGGTGTCACCTTGGCTTAGTTTGTAGCACTCTTGCTTCTGATTCAGCAGGTTGTGGGTTCAAGCCCCACATTCGGACTTTTGGCTCACACTCTCGGCTGACACTCCATTGCAGTGCAGGTGGAGTGTTGTATTGTCGGAGGTGTTATCCTTTGAATGAGATGTTAAATCAAGGTTCAGTCTACCTGTTCAGGTGGACTTTAAAGATCCCATGGCGGTATTTAAAAGGAGAAGTGAGTTTCTCCTGGTGTCATCTCCATACATTCTCCTAGATAAAATTGGTCATTTTATGGCTGTTTGTGGGATACTGCTGTGCATGAATTGGCTACTGTGTTCACCTACAAAATACACAATGACTATCCTTTGCAATAAAATCCTGTAAAGCCCATTAAAACATCTTGATGACATGATAAACTGCTATTTCGGACTCTGCCCTGTGTGAAGGGCACTATATAAATCAAGATTATTATTATTTCAAATGGAAATAAAACAACAACTTGCATTTATATAATGCCCTTCACGTGGGGCAGTACCTCAGAGCACTTAACAATGGCATTGTTAGCACTGAGCTGGGGGAGAAAAGAGAGGTGACCATAGGCACAGTCGATGAGGAAATTCTTCAAGTGTGATCTGAAATGGGGCAAGGCAGAAGGATTGGGCCACAGTAGTTGAAAGCACAGCCACTGATGGTGGAACAGAGGAGTCAAGGGATGTGTAGAAGATTAGGTCTGGCCAAGCAAAGGGGGCATGTAAAGGAATGGGGTGTGTGCACGGATTATTTATTAAGAATTTGCTCAATTCTCACCCTTGTTAAGATTCGATAAAGTATCATTCTGTTCTGCGCAGTGTTTCTGCGCTTTTGCTCCCTCAACAAATCCGTCTCCTCTCCACTTCCTCCCAGACTCACTTAAGTATAGGGAAGAAGACGGGGTCGACTTGTGACCCTTCTGTTTAAAACATGGCAACTCAGTAATTGGGATGTTGAGCTCTGCTGGCTCTCATCCTGTGACTGCAGTGGTGTGAAGATACTGGTTTAATCACTTCACAGCTGAGCTACTTCACTGCTGTTTTTGTGCCCCTGTAATTGATGAAATTTCACTTTTGTGTAGCCTGCTGTGAAATAATGGAATATGAGTGTATTGAAAATCAATGCAAAGAAATTTAAACATCACTTCGCAACTGCCAGAAGCAAATGTTGGGCTGCGACCTTTTAGATGAGCCTGGAAGGTACAATTTCACCAGTCTACCTAATGCCACAAATAGTAATAAGAGGAATCCATTTTATAACTGGATTTTTACAATTAGCACGGAAAAGGCATTTTGTAGATCACTGTGCAGTAACTATGCATATGGTTTTAATTTGCATGTGTGACATTGTCTATTACAGACAATTCACCTGTTGTAGAAATTTGAATAACATCTTTATCTAAAACCTTATTTCAGACTGAAGATGAAAATGTTTATGAAGCCAGAGAAGGAGCAAAGTTCCCTGTAAAATGGACTGCACCAGAAGCCATCCATTCAAGCAAATTCAGCATCAAATCTGATGTGTGGTCCTTTGGAATACTGCTATATGAAATAGTGACTTATGGGAAAATGCCATATCCAGGTTAGTTTGTTATTTCTAGACACTTTTCCAATAATAATCCTTGCATATGATAATCCTTGCAATATGTGAGAATATGCACATTTAAAATTGGATTCCAGCAGATGCAATTTATTATGTTATTATTTCTGTCTTTATTGCTCTTCATTTCTCCATATTAATGATGTTCGCCATACAACATAATATGTGGGAAAAATAAAACCACATTTCAGTGGCATTAGATAGTAAGTACTGTAGAGACTGTAACCACTATAATAATACTGATTAGAAATCTTCCTTCTCAGATCTAGGAATTTAAAAATATATATATATATTGTTATTTGTATAAATCAACCTAATTAAACCCTTATTTTTCCAATTCTCACTATTAATTATTATGATCCAAGAACTGTTCTTTTTATACATGGTATAAACTGAATTAATAACCACCTTTGTAAATTTCCTTTGCTCTTGGTTTGCATCAGTTCGGTTAATTTGTTAAACTATAATATGTGACAGTATATATTTTAAAAAACGAGCTTTCTGCTGTTGTTTAGGAATTGGCTAATTCTTTACATCAGAGAATCTATTACCTTGAATAATTGACTGCTGGCAGGCCCAGGAAATAGTTGGCTCAATATGTTGACCCCCTTTTCCAAAATGTTTAGCTCACGCAGCATAATGCTGAAACTCCTCAATGTTCCAGAGTAGCAGCACTGCAATATTAACCCATAAATATAACAATAAAAACTTCAAACCTTTTTTAAATTTCATTCTTGTTTCCACTTTTTATCAGATTCTCTCTTCCACCTTCCTTTCTTATATTTTCATTATTTTAAACTTCAATCTTTTCTATTTTTTCATTGCTAACCTAATTTACCTGCACTAACCACAGTTCCTTCTCTTACATAAAACAGTTGAAACTGTTTTCATTTGAAATTGAATATTCTACTTGGGCTCCTGCCAATTATTTTGGATAATGGACTTGGATTTTAGCTTATAAACTGGCTTCAAAGGCGACTTTTTAGGCAATTAATTTACGCCAGTCTCCCCAGCTTCATTATGCAAAGGATCCAGCTGATCCAAAACTCCGCCGCTCGCATACTCACCTTACTAAACTTGGTACCCCCAGGCTCCACTGGCTGTCTATCGATAAACGGATCGATTTCAAGATCCTCACACTCATTTTCATGCCCAATCAAAGATTGATCTTTATACTTTGAAATAAATCTCAGCAGACTCCGGCCTGCTTCATGTCCCCCGTCTCGCCCATCCCGCCATTGGTGGGAGGGCCTTCAGCCACTCTGCACCCACCCTCTGGAACTCCATCCCACAGTCCCTCTGCCTTGCCCCCTCCCTTGCCTCCTTCAAGACCTATCTCAAGACTCTCCTCTTCAACCGTGCCTTTGATCACCCTCCTTCCCTCCCTGCCCTCCAGCCTCCCCGATCCTGACCCCCACCTCGGGTTCAAAACACTGATTGTCCAGGGCCTTGGGACGTCCTCCCAATGTGAAAGGTGCTATACAAATTTAATCTTGTCGTTGTAATCAATGCACTTTCCTGTGTTCCTGGTTGGCAGGGAGAAGCTGCCAGGTAAAGCTAAGAGTTCATTCCACTCATGGACTAGCTGTTTCTTAGTCCAATTTCTGAAGAGCTTTACCAAGGCCATGTGTAAGGCAATAACCTTGAATGCTTTGTAAAGTGATGAACAACGTTGTTCATCATTTTACAAAGCATTCAAGGCATAAGTTCACAGCTCAGAATAACAAATCTTTGAAGGTAGGAAGGCAGGTGGACTTAGCTGTGCGGAAAGCTCATGGGATGCCAGGCTTTATAGATAGGGGCATAGAATACAAAAGCGTGATGCTAAACCTGTATCAATGATTGGTTAGACTGCAGTTAGAGTATTGTGTGCAATTCCAGTTTTGATCACCCCACTTTAGGAAAAATATCATGGCCCATAGAAAGGATGCAGAGGAGATATACTAGGATGTTACCAGTGATGAATGGTTTGACCTATGAGCCAGACAGGAGGAACTGAGTATGTTTCCATTCAAACAGAGAAGATTGACAGAAGACGTAATAGCACTCTTTAAAATTGAGGCATTTTGATACAGTTGATGGTGATAAATTATTTCCACTAGTTTGCAAGTCAGTAACTCAAGGTGATATGAATAACCTGTTAGTGACCACAGAGAATCTGGATTAATAGGGGACAGTCCTCTGAGCCTTTTTGCTTGGGAGAATTGATCTACATCAGATGAACTTTCTTTTCTGACTTTTGTTTTCCAAATTTTCCACTGGATTTTACACTTTCTACAGAATAACATGACAGATGATTGCAGATTGTAGTTGTGCAAAACTTTGTAACTGTGTGCTTCATTACTGAGCCTTGCAGCTTAGATCCTTCAGTTATTGAATAGCTGCACACAGTCTCATGCGTGGGTGGAGATAGAGCAGTTTTTCATTTCCTGTACCTATTTTCAATAAGCTCTTTTTGGCACATTGCTTTGATTGCTGCCTAGACAAGTTTCCACCTTGCTTTACAATAACACAAGGGGACAAGGTTTCAGAGAGGCACAGGAGGCCACTTGGGATATGTAGACAACTGATGAAAATTGGAAACAATCTGTCACTCTATCTCTGGCATCTCCCTCTTTTGCTGCCTTAAGGAAAGGAAAATGAAAATAATAAAACAACTACAACAAAATTATATTTATATAGCCCCTTACACGTCAGAAGGACATCCGAAAGCAAGGTCAAAGAGGAAAGTCTTGAAACGGGCCAGGAATCGGATGGATTCCAGAAGGATTTCCAGAGGATTTTTAAACAAAGATTTTAAGATTCGTCTTCGGCCATATTGCTATTCACTTGGCAGCTGGAGCTCCCTGATGTTTAAAGGGTCCTTGACCTTCTATTTGTAACTCAACAATCCAAACCATTATGCATCTCAGATGATGATGTCTCCAATGACCAGCGGTGGAAAATTGCAGAGTTCAGCAGATAATCTCCTTTCACAGGACAACTACTAAGCTGCTGCATATCTGGGATCTTCTCTTCTGTTACTCTCCTCCTTTCCAGCTGAGCCTTGCATATAACTAGAATACAGGTTGAACTCTGATCAGAGGACTTCTACTGCACTCTGTCAGAGTTTAGGGATTAATCATTAATACCTGTTCAATTGTATAGTTTCTTGCGTGACTCAACTTTTCTTTATTTTTGTGATCTTACTGATGTTATAATAATAATAATCTTACTGATGTTGCATATTGGGAGTGAAAAGAGGCTCATTGGGAAATGGCAGCTCAGTGCAAGCACCCTGATAGCTTGTGAGAAGTTAGCTCCGAGGTGAACTCAGGTCAGAGCTAGCTTACTGTGGGTCAGTGCAATGCATCTAGGAGTTCACTACAAGAACTCCTTTATATCTTGAGGCACTCTTTCTGGGGTTGAGTTACCAATTACGCTGCCATTCTCCCAACAAGTGCTTTCCAACTTTTCTGCAATGATTTTGTTCAATAGTTAAAATGAAGATAGTCATCCCCCACTCTCCCTTCTCAATCCTAATTGAAAATGAACTTTCAAAGACTGAAACTTTCAGTCTGGAATAGAATTTATAATTTAATAATCTAACTAATGTGATTCTTAGCTCCAGGATCTATTCCATGAGTTGCGTAAAGCATGTGTAAATAAATTCATAGAAGGAATTACAGATTTCCTTAATTATAAAAATTAACCAGTGAAAGAATTATAGAATTGCCCAAATGCTTTCATAAATAATTGTAATGCAGTTACTGAGAGTTTTTTCAAATGTATTAATTTTAAATGTTTGCCTCGTCTGTTCTGTTCTTTAGGAATGACAAATTATCAAGTTATTCAGGAGCTTGGGAAAGAATACCGAATGCCATGCCCTGACACTTGCCCCTTGCCACTGTATGAAATCATGCTGGATTGCTGGAAAGACAAAGACTATGAACGGCCAACATTTGAGACACTACAATGGAAACTGGAGGATTTCTTCGAAACTGATCTTTCAGCCTATACAGATGCTAATGCTTTTGTTAGTTAATATACAGGATGAGTGCCAATAGCTCAGTGGTTAATTTAGACAGAATTGATTACAAAATATCAACATTTTAGTTTCACTGAAGTGAAGAATTAGAAAACATTTTATGGAGTACCATATGTTGACTGGTGGCGTGGCCACTTGCAACCATACAAGCACAAGACAATCCATTCCATAAACTTCTGATTGACCATCTATCCATTATTTCCCATGATATATACAAGGCCTTGTTTCTGTTCATGGAGAATGCCTGGCATTGCCTCAAACAGCCAAACGGCATGTTTGAAGGGTGCAATAGCAGAATGGGCATCTGAGGTCAGAAATGAATAATTGTTGGAAACATCCAATTCCGACACAATGCTTTTCTAATTTAGTAGGATTCAGTCTTCACAACCTGAGAATAATTTTGTTTCCCCTTACAAATTATTTCTATGTTTTCCATGCGTACAAAATTTGTAGTATCATACGTAACGCTGCAACATGGATATAATTTGAGTACTCTCAACATCCTATTTATGATACTGTTCTTAAAATCTAAGCAGGGTGTATAGAGCCTTAGTCGATCAAGCGATACAGCATGTAATGGGTTTTCTTTGCAGATTTGCTTCTTGGCTTTGAGATGCAGATAAAACAAATCTAATGAAAAATAAGACACAATTTATCATACTTTGTATAAATTCCTGAAATCACTGTTTTTTTTGGTTATTGCAGTTTTTATTTTGCGTTGAAGGGAGTGAATGCTTTAAACAGTGGTTGCATGCAATTGCAGTGAGGACTCGAGATGTGAAATTTACACCTGATAGCAAATTGACTGTGGGTTTGAAAAAATGCAAGAACAAGATAACTTGCACTATGCCTGAAAAGTGCCTGTGATGTAAACTGTCTGCTCTCCAGGGAAACCCCTGGATGTTCTGTCAACTTGTGAAACCTTTGCTGAAAGAACAACAATGACAACTTGCATTTATATAGCAACCCTCAAGCAGGATAGCATCCCAGAGCGCTTGAAGAAGATCTTAGTGTGAATCAGTGTGAAGTTTTCTCAGGATACAAAGTAAAGTGAAGAGGGAGTATTCCGTTATTTCAGAGTATCTTCCATTTTAGAATGCTTAATGGAGTATCTTAGGGACATTACCCATTTTGAGAAAGGTTTGTTAAAAAAAAACTTGCACAAGACTTGTTTATTTTATTCTATGACAGATAATGTAACCTGTAGAATTTAAGACTAATATTCCAATCATTGGATCAAATGTCCTGCAAAAAAATCTTCCTGTCGAGGTTTATTAAGTTAAGCATACCTTTTGCATAAGTGCCTTTGTTCAATCTCGGTTGGATGTCAATAGAATATTGAAAAATAAATGTGAAATTACATTTGAAAATATAAATGTCACACTTAATGTTTCAAAATGTTTCATGCTAATCCTTTTTTTAAGTATTGGGATTGTTTGTATATCAAATTAATTCAAACACTTTTATTTAATTTGCTTTTAATAAGAAAGTTAAGTCAACCTCTAATGTGCTTTGTAAAATCAGTTTTCTGTTGCACATGGGAGCATGTTTGAACAGTCAAATCAAATTGGAGGATTCTTTTCTACCACTCGCTACTTGGGGTTGAGTGCTCTTGATAGTGAGGTAATGAAGTTGTAGTGTGGTCCTATTCTGGATTCAACCATAAATATAAGAGAGCTGTGTAAACATCACAGTATTTGATTTTATTTGTAATAAGAACTGAAAAAGAAACCTCCAAGGTGTGATAACAGTAATAGACTTTCTATGCAGCATGTTGCCAAATTGAAGATATGCCGGATGATTGATGGCTTTGACCTTCAGTCTTATCCTTCAGTCATCTAGCCTGTAATTAGTTCAGCAAGACAGAAGTCTTGTGTGTCGAACAATGCTTCAATAATGCATTAGCCTTTTTTTTATAATATGTTATCAGAAATGTTGCACAAAAGTTCCAAATAATGACTGATTTTTTTTGGAAAACTGCTATTTTGAATTGAATGCAAACTTATTGCACTTCATTGCAAATAGGATTGTGTTCTAATTTTAAGTTGTTTGTGCCATGTTATCACTGAGGCTGATCACAATTAATATATTTGTTGAATATTACGTTAAGCACAGAACTAAGCTCTGAAGAAAAGTGCTATTTCTATAGTTTTTTGTGTTTGTTTAATCTCTCATCGATTCATGTACGAATATGATGGTTGAAATTAACAATTAAATTGGATTACATTTCGGTTTCATGATTTATTTACATTTGACACCCTAACTCACAAGTTTTATGTATGTTCGTTCTTGCTTTGTGAGCCAATAAACAAAAATAACGTGTAGTCATTGACAAAATGCAAACTGGGTTGAAAGTCTATTTATCAATTGTCAACATTTCTTTTTAAATAAAGATTGACATTGATAAATATAGTAAATGAACCAATGTTCTATTTTAGCAAAGGTTTCTGTTGACAATATGTTAAATAAAACCAGAGCTTTTAAAGAGTCGTGTCTATTTCTAGACACTACAATCATAAAAATTTAGCATTTAGCATGTTGGGAGGACATTTCAAAGTACTTAATATATTGGCTAGGCCCTTGAGCTGGGTGGAAGCTGAGTGGGGTAGGGAGGGGAAAGATGATAGGATAGGTGATATCAAGCTCGCTGAGAAGAGAGCAGGTAGGAGGGTAGGGTTTGAGGAGGCCACAGAGTTAGATCATGGAGGAATTTACAGGTGCCACTGAGAGTCTGAACTTGATCCGTTGGGGGATGGGGAGCCATTCGAGTTGAGCGAAAAATTAGACATAGGCTTGTGGAGTCTGGTGCAGGAAATGACAAAGGGTGAAGAGTTGCAGATTGTTTACATATTGTGTAGAGAAGAGTTGGGGAATTTGGTAAGTTAAGTGTTGCCATTCGTTGTGAAGCCCGGACACGATAAATGCATGGATTAGCAGCCCAAGACCAAGACAATGGCAGAGCTGGCTAATATCCTCCCAGAGCTGAGCAGGTCAGAGCACGGATATGGGTTGTAAAGGACAGATAGGAGTCAAACAACATATTGAGGTTCTGCACTAGTTCCACAAGGTGAAGTGTGCAATCATGGAGGTTGACACTGCTGAGTTGAGTAGCTGCTAATGGGAGCCAAGCAGAAAAGCCTCTGTCTTGTCAACGGGTTCAACTAAAGAATTAAATGCTATTTTTTGAGTTGAGCGATGAGGGGAATATTTTATTTTTCCCTTGAATTTGATATTTATCCCTTAAGCAGATTGCTTCTGAAATCAAATGGTTCTACTTTTCTGCATGGTATCCTGCTTGTATATGACAGCTGCATAAAATATCATCTTGCATTATACTCAAATAATATTAGTATCCACAAAAGTGACCAGTCACCATTATTTCAAAGCTGCTCATGATGATCATCCACAAGACCAGATGTTTAGCAATATATTTCTCTACCCGTAATGTCATATTAATTGAGAGATAAGCAGACTGAGGACTCTGATTTAGAACTTGAATTAGCTCTCAATATTGCTGCTTAAAAAATGCTGAAAGAGTAAATGATCTATCGATTTGATCATTTTCATCAAACACTATTTTCTAAACGTGAACATAGAGCAACCCCATCCATTGACCATATAGCTTATAGTGCTGATGCCCTGTACATCTGGAAGTGTGGTACACTTACCTTCTGGCCCTGATTAACTGGCTATTTGCCAGGTTATCAATTTGTCACTGATGCGACTTTCCTGTGGTGTCAGTGGTGCTTCTTGCACATGCGCACAATGCACAGAAGTGATGACGGCAACGTGATCAGCTAGAAATTAATCGTTATTTCACTTGTATTGTGCCTTCTGAGGTGCTGGACTCAGATAAGTGTACTATAATGAGGTTGTCCTTCACATGGGGAGTGAGCATCCTCTTCTCAATGCATTGACTTGTTAAATAAAATTAGTCACTCATCTCATGGTTGTTTGTGCCACATTACTGGGTTCATATTGGCTGCAAAATCTACAGTCATTACATTTCACAATAAAAGGACTATTGAAGCTCTTAGGATGTCTCGATGTGATAAGGCGCTCTATCAAATTCAAGGATTATTATTGACTTGTTAAATATAGTTACACTAGTGTACTATTTGACTTTTGCGTAGTAATATGATTAAACTCACCAATCTTACTTCACAAAATTTTACTTATTGAACATAGAAACAATCCCAGCATATTCCTCACATAACTGCAGTTCTATTTTGATTGACTAGGCTTTGTATACCCAGATTTAAGGCTGCAGACTTTACATAACATAAAGAAATCCCAAATAAAGCAAATGTCAGCGCCTTAGGACGTCGTCCCGACATGAAAGGCGCTACACAAATGTAATTTTGTTGTTATTTTGTTGTTTGGGGATCCTGCTGCGTTCTGCTGCACAAATGTACAACTTGACTTTGCATGCAAAGTACCAGGGCAATGTGCAGCTCTTGCCACAAAGTTCATGGTGTGCTTTTTGATTTCATTTTGGCTTTGTAAAATACTAATGCCTAAGCTAACAGGACACTTCTGAACCAAAATTATTTTCTTTTTCCCCTTCCCAGATAGTTAATTCTACTAAAGTCAATGTCTCTACTAATGTACATTGGCTAAAAATATCCTATATTCATTGTGATACTGGCTTATAGACTTAAGGGAAACTGCGATATAAAATAACATAAGAAGAGTGGTGATTCAGCCCAAGACGACTATAAAACGTGAAGGCAGGTGACATCCTTGCATTCAAATCCCTCCACATCCTTGACCTAACCTACCTCGCCTGCAACCTGACTGATCTGCAGCTCCCTTTGCTCAGGAAACAATAACCTGTTTTATATTCCCCCACCTTGTCTGCTCCACCATTGTTAGGTGAACCATGAACCATTCTGTCCCCACTTCCTGAAACTCCTTCCCAGTGTTCCTCTGACACAACTCTACCTCCCTACTATCAGAGTCCACCTCGAGGCTTATCTCTCATCACAGTTTCTATTATTCCCTACCCCTGCCCCACTCTTCAATTCTACCCCTCCACTGACTCAGACATCTACCCAGTTGTGTAAAGCACTATGAGACATACTCCAGATGTGAATGGTGCAATAAAAATATAAATGGTATGATATCAATATTCAACGCATTGCAAACAGATACTTACCAGAAATACTGTACAGTATTTTAAAAGCATTGTTCTAAGACATTATCTCGTATGAAGGGAGCTATATAAATGCAAGTGGTTGTTGTTGTTCAGCCTTAAACCATGGAAATAAATATCCGAAATATGTTGCTGATTTTAAGGAATACGAAACTGATTGATCTTTATTTTCTTTGGCACGCAACAAAAAGTAATTCTGGAGTCAAAATTATGGTAAAGAATTTCTGAAGAGGGGTTGTGTTCTGAGTATGAGTATCGTGCAAGAGACTTTATAAAGGGTGAAAAAATAGAGGTGCACTGATGATCAGCAATGCTCTCATCATTTCTTATCATTGAAAACATTCACATCGAATCAGATATGGTGGAATTCTATTTGTGTTTTTACAAAGGCATTTGCAAATAGTGAATGTGTAATTAGTAAATTTGCAAATAAATTGAAAATTATTTCCAGTTCAATTACTTTTCTTATTATCCTGAGGATAACCAGCTCAATTGACCACAGACAGAGAGAGAGGGCTGCAGGCAGATTCAGATCCAAATTTTAAAGCCAACCCACTCTGGATCTTCCCTTGGAAAGTGAGGAACAAAATCTGTGCTCATTTTAGACTGCTGTAAAGCCATATTTAAACAAAGCGAGGCTACTGTTTACCATCAGCCCTTGCGATTGGAACAAAAACAACTTGCATTTATATAGCACCTTCATGCAGGGCAGCATCTTTGAGCGGTTATCAGTGGCAGAGCCTGACGCAAGTGTTAAGCACGCTGCAAAGGGTTCAATAGCATCTCCCATGGCCAGTTGTTTTGCTCTGTTGCCTTTATCCACATGTGTCTTTCCAAAATCATTGACTCCAATCTGAGGCCGACTGGAATAAACTCAAATCAACATTTCCCATCCCTTTTGCCAATATAACAAATTAGACCGCTGTCTCTGCTGCAGTGTGGAGTTGACATGTGGACCATGTGATGCTTTCAAAACTGGTATTTCTACCTCTTCATGGAATAGAGTCCACCTTAATGAGGCTCTGCTGAGAGATTGATTCCAATGTTACCTTAGCAAAGTTTGGAAATCCCTTTTAAGGCAGTATAATGATTACAATTGATGGCAATATGTCAATTCTAAAATCATTTTAGCAGCTCAAATTAATTTCAACTTGCATTACTGGAATTATTTTTAATTGCCTTAAAATTTAATTGTTCCACTGGTTAGTTGAAAGGTAATACACTTGGAAGCGTTGCATCATAAAGCAAAGTTAATTTTTAATATCTTGCCTTCAGTCACGCAGCAGACACCATGCCCCTATCTGTGCCTGCTGTCTGCTACCCGAAGACAAGAATCTCTCACATGAATAACTTTAAATGTTTCATTAGACTTTAAACAAACTTCATAAAATGACTTCATCTGCCATTATCTGACACAGATTTCCTTTTGAAAATGAGCATCCTGGGATTTGGTGTGTGGCATCAATAATCCCAGATTTAACATCTTCAATAGCATAATATGTTCTATTAGATTATAGTGCTAACACACTGTCTTATTTCCCTCTAATCAGCTGTGGAATACCACTTGATACCCGTACAGGGATTATCATTAATTTTTCAGCTGGATATCATAAGGCGTCAACTTGCACAGAGCACAGTAGCTGTTGGCATCTGCCATGAGACCAGCTGGTGGGTGGCACAATGATCCCTACAGTAAACATCATGAAAAATAATGGATAGTGGGGATAGGTTTCTAGAGTCTAATCTACGGGGGCTGATAATGCCGATGAATTACTCAAAGCTTCACCCCTGTGGTTTATAATATCATCTGAACCTCATCAATGAGATTGCAACCTTGCAAATCTCTCCTGAGTATACGCCTTTCTCTATTTAACCAAAGATCAGAGTTAACTTTAGCTCAATTATTAGACATTGGGGTCTAATTTGCATCATTTAAAAACTGGATTTGTTTTGTTAATTACAACTTCTGCTCTATGACTTATGGTCTGCGAAATTCACAGCTGCTGAATCACAAGTTGACAAAGTCCCAAAAAAGGCAAACAAGTAAAGGGGTTGGCTGTTTCCCATCAGTATCTTGCTCGCTGCCTTTTTTGCTACATTTGCCAACTTGGGAATCGTGATGCGAGTCGCGAGCTGCGAGTCGCGAGCCAGAAGTCACAAATCTGAAGTGTGATTAAAGTGACAAATCCAGGTTGGCATATCCCAAAATTAGACCCCATTCATTCCTTTTGTAAATAGGAACATTGGGATCTGTGTCTGTCTGCACGAACACATCGATATGTGAATGCATCTTAATGCTCTGACGTTTTCCTTTTAATTCTTCTGCTTAAGTGAATCCCTTTGAGTCAGAGGCTGAGTTTATTTTTGAATTGGATGAGCTGATTTTAAATTAAAAGATGTCCTAGCTTCTAGTTTAAATAGCCATCTTTGAGTTCATTATCTGCAGAGATACCATCTTTCTGACAGGGGCTTGCAGGTCAAATGCTCCCCTATGGTATTCCCAGTGAACCTCCCCAGACAGGAATGAAGCAGTTACCAACTGGTCCAGCCAGCTACACCACTAACTGCGTCCACATCGCTGGGGACTCCTGTCAAGTCCTGCATATAAATAAGCAATGTTCAGTGAGTTGGAAGTGCTGAATGTTGTCCATTGGTCTACATGTTATTGTCATTTGATTCTAACTGCTTACAAATTACATTTTCTAGCTGTACAAAATAATTTGCGGAGTAATCATCTGCTGGCTGCCGATTGAATGTAGGTTTAAGAGATTTTTTGTTCTGTGTGTGGATATTGCTTTAACATGATCGATGCCTTAAATCTACCGCAGCACTGGCAGGATAAAACTGGGTAATCACATCTTATTTTGGGTCTGTTAGTTTGTCAAATTTCTGCCCAGATATCAATCTACGTGGCCATAACATCCAGCAGAGAGAAAATTCTCCCTGTCTTTTCAAATCGTGAAGTACATCACAATTCTTTTTGTGCTTAGTTTTACTAACTTTATGCATGCAGTTTTGTGTCATTTTATTCTCTCAAGTGGAAGCTTGATGTGCCCAATATTGTTTCCAGGATCATGGCTTAAGTAGTGTTGGATTAACTATCTATACAACTTGTCTAATCATTGTGTGATACCAGATCTGAGGCAAGCTGTGCTTTAGGACATTTGTTTGAACAGAAATACTCACAGATCTGTGGAATTCATCTGAAACACAAATCCTAATTTCCTTGTTCTGCTATATTCTTGTATTCCTTGTGCATGGTCTATTGTCACCAGTCTTTCGCTTCCATCAAATGCTTTGTGCCAGTTGAAAATGAACCAAATAAATTCAAAAATCCTCCCTAGAATTTCCCAACAATGGGAGATATTATCTACTGGTTGGTAAATTTATCAACATTTATAATTATAATGGGTAGTCACATTAAAAGTAGTTGCTGCAAAAGTTTGGTATGAAAACAGACAATTCTAAAAAAATCATTGTTAAAGGATGTAATACAATGTAATACATTGTATTACACCCTCAGTTTCAGCAGAATAAACCCTAATTATATTGGAATTCAGTTCCATTTGCATCAGCTACCAGCACCATTGATGTCTCACTCACTGAGACTGGAAAGTCTCCTTCATGGTTTTGAGTTCCTGGAAATGCAGTGGACAGGCTTCCTCTGGGCGATTGTGAAGTGCTGGATCAAGCTAGGGTGGTCCTAAATGAACACCTCGTAAGTTTTTCAGATGGTGTTTTCAATGGCAAGCTATGTGGTTTTAGCTGATTAGATTCCAGTAGTACCCT